TAAATAATTTTTTTCCACCAAACAGAAATACAAGAGTTGGAAGGGACCTTGGGGGTCTTCTAGTCCAACCCCCTGCTCAAGGAGAAGACCTTATGCCATTTCAGACTGTTCAGGCTGTCCAATCTCTTCTTCAGAAGCACCAGTGATGGAGCACCCAAAGCCTCTGAAGGCAAGCCGCTTCCCCTGATTAATTGTTCCCGCTGTCAGGAAACTTTTCCTTATTTCTAGGTTGGATCTCTCCCAAGCAATGCAGCCAGGGTAGAAAACCCAATTCTCCCATTATTTCCCCTGTCGTGTGCTGAGCATCTGGGCTGATAAATGGGGTGCCTTCTCCTATCATCCTGCGTCTGGTCCTTGATGCGTTTGAGGCTACGCTGGTGCCAGGGAAGAATTCACAAAAGAATCTACTGCTGTAAACGGGCGACCTAATTAATCTACAGGAAAAACTTTGCTTCTCTCCCACCGACTTGCTAAGGGAGAGTTGAAGAGTAGCTGTGTCAAGTAGTGAAGCTTTAATTGTAATCCTTCTGGTATTTACAAAGAGAGGGTTGCACCCACGTCTGCCCACATCTACGTTTTGGACTTTCACTTCTTGGCTAAATCAGGATCTGGCACTCCCAAATTTTTTATTCATGTTTAATACTGTGACGCAGGTAGTCCTCAGCGTTCGACCACAATCGAGCCCAACATTTATGTTGCTAAGCAAGGCCGTTGTTAAGTGAGTTTTGCCCCATTTTACAACCTTTCCTGCCACGGTTGTTAAGGCAATCACCGCAGTTGTTAAATTAGTAACTTGGTCGTTAAATGAATTGGGCTTCCCCATTGCTTCCTAGAAGGTCTCAAAAAGGGATCACACAATTGTGGGGCGATGCAACTGTCCTAAACGAGTCAGTTGCCAATTTTGACCACGTGACTGTGGGGATACTGGTCGTAAGTGTGAAGAAATGGTCATAAGTCAACTTTTTCAGTGATGTCGTAACTTAGAACAGTCACTAAATGAACTGCTGTAAGTTGAGGCCTCCCTGTATATTTCCTCTGTTCCCACCAACAAACGGATGAGCAACTGCGGCAACTTTACGACCTGTGGACTTCAACTCCCAGAATTCTGCTGGCTCAGGAATTCTGGGAGTTGAAGTCCCCAGGACGTAAAGATGCCATAGCTGCCGATTCCTGCTCTACCCTACTTACTCCTTTAAAACTGTGTTCCTCAACCTTGGCAACTGGAAGACGTGTGGACTTCAACTCCCAGAATTCCCCAGCCATCTTAGAATCCACAAGGATTGAGGGGAGAGATAAACTGCGTGCCTAAATTAATACCAGCCCTTCAATGTTTCTCGATCTTGACAACTTTAAAACATCTGGACTTCAACTCCCAGCATTCATGGTGGCTGGGGCATTCTGGGAGTTGAAGTCTAGACATGTTCAAATTGCAGAGGTTGAGAAACCAGCTGGAAAACATGAATTTTGTTCTAACCATACCTTGTTTTATTGCAGTTCAGTTTATTGTGCTTAGTTATTTTTACAAGACTTTCCACCAACTAAAAAACAATTACAACTCACTGAAGCCTCCAAGGAGATTTAGCATTTTTTAGCAATAAAGTATTTTTTTTTACTTAAGACCTATACATTGTTTTTTTAAAAAAAAAAACAATCCAATGCTATTGCATGCTTTAATAGACTACAGTGTAGCATAAACATCATTTTTATAGGAACTGCAAAATCAAAACATTGACTCCCTTTATTGCAATATTCACTTTTTCGAATTGGTTGGTTCAGAACCAAACCGGCAAGATCTCGGATATACTGTAAGTCTGTATTTTTGTTCTTGTCCCAATTGGAGGATTAATGTTAGACTAGATGAGCTGTTCGCTTGGTCCAGCTCTTATGCTCTTAAATGCTAGGGTGATAGGATTGAAGAAGGCATGCTGCCAATAAGATAATAAGAAAACATGTGGAGGAGTTTTTGGTGGGTTTTTTTGGAATTAAAAAAAAAAATAGAGGATTTACAATGCTGTCTTTAGTCAGGGCATAAAAAAAGATGCTGAGACCCTAGAAAGAGTACAGAGAAGAGCAACAAAGATGATCAGGGGACTGGAGGCTAAAGCATATGAGGAACAGTTGCAGGGATTGGGTATGTCTAGTTTAATGAAAAGAAGGACTACGGATGATATGATACCTAGCATATCTCAGGGGCTGCCCCAAAGAAGAAGGAGTCAAGCTATTTTCCAAGGCGCCTGAAGGCAGGACAAGAAGCATCGGATGGAAACTGATCAAGGAGAGAAGCAACCTAAAACTAAGGAGAAACTTCTTGACAGTTAGAACAATTAACCAGTGGAACAACCTGCCTCCAGAAGTTATGGATGCTCCATCACTGGAGGTCTTTAAGAAGAGATTGGACAACCATTTGTCTGAAATGGTGTAGGGTTTCCTGCTTGAGTAGGGGGTTGGACTAGAAGACCTCCAAGGTCCCTTCCAACTCTGTTATTCTGTTAAATTCCCCTTAAGCCGCCATTCCTGACAAGTAGACAGTGTTTCTTCCTGATATACAATTGATTGATTGATTTGACTTGCTTGCTGCCCATTTCACCCAAAGGTGATGCTGGGCAGCTTCCAAACATTAAAATGCAATAAAACATTGAAGCCATAAATAATCTTCATCATAGTAATAACTTACAGCAAAAAGATGGGGAGCAGGATATGAAAGGGGGAGGGGGAGATGGGACCTTGTCTTAATCCAATAGCCACTTCCAGCACGATGCACCCCCACTGAGCCATGGTGGCACAGTGGTGAGAATGCAGTATTGCAGGCTAACTCTGCCCACTGCCAGCAGTTCGATCCTGACCGGCTCAAGGTTGACTCAGCCTTCCATCCTTCCGAGGTGGGTAAAATGAGGACCCAGATTGTTGGGGGCAATTTGCTGACTCTGTAAACTGCTGAGAGAGGGCTGAATATAAGTACATAAGTCTTAAGTGCTATTGCTATTGGGACTCCAGGCCAAGTGACAGAGACAGGTCTTCAGGCCTTTATGGAAGGACAGAAAAGTCGGTGCAGAACTCACCTGGGTTGGGATGTGTGTGAGATGTTCCAAAGAGTGGGAGCCACAGCAGAAAAGGCCCTTCTCCTGGACCCCACCAGCCGAAATTCTCTGACTGACACGGTCTGCAGCATGTCGCCTCTGTTGGCACAGGTGAGGCGGGCCAATTCCATTGGGGCGAGGCGGTCCCTCAAATAACCTGGACCCAGAGCTTTAAAGGTGATAACAAACACCTTGAATTGGACCCCGGAAGCAGCTTGGTGTAAACTGGGCCACCCTAAGGGCCTCACCAAAAGCTGGAAGTCTCCCCAAAGTTTCCAACTTGCAGAAAGCGTGCTGAAAGATTTCACATCTCCCAGCCCCCCCACACCATCTGCAGGTACACCTCCTAGAAAAAAAATTACCCTTTGCATGTAGCTGTATAGGCACATTGCTGAAAACTTCCAACGCCCCGTCACCATCTGAGGTGTCAAGTTTTGCCCAGGAGTGAACCCCAGGACCTGGTGGGCGAGACGAAGTGCTAAGTTGCCTGCAGCTGGAGATGACTTTCGTTGTGCGTGTTTCTCTTTTCTCACCAGCCTTCCAAGCCCTTCTTTGCCCTCCCTGTTCCAAACACTCTGAAGTTTTCTTCCCTGGGGATAATAAATGTGTGTGTGTTTGTGTGTGTGTGTGTGTATATATATATATATGTACTAGTTCTGCCACATCGAGAAATCCTTGGTGATTGGGTGCCATCAGCTAGGTGTTGCAATCCTTTTAGGGCATTGCAGCCTTGGCAACACACACACACACACACACACACACACACACACAGAGGAGAGGCTGCCTGTTTATTAAGGCAAAAGTGCTGGTCTTCATCAAACATTCATCAAAGCCCCCCTCGCTTCCTATTTCACAGCCTCTCCGTGGTGCAGCTGCTCCCTGCCTTACCAAGAATGGATTGGGAAAAAATAAAAATAAAAATGGATTTATTCAACCTTTAGCATTGCTTGATATCTCTATTTAGCAGAGAGACTTTTGGGGGGCTACTGAGCCCCATAGATGCTAGGAAACGTCTCAAAGGGTCAAGACTTTCCAGCGAAAAGTGAGATCCCTGTGAAATGTTAAGATGTTTTTGGCACCTGCACAGGAAAGGGAAGCACGATTGAGAACAAATAAGGTCTCCTGGCTTGGGCGGGGGGTGGGGGTGGACTAGAAGACCTCCAAGGTCCCTTCCAGCCCTGTAAGTCTGTTCTGTCTTGAGTTGTATTCAATTGACAGTTGACTTCTATAACTCATCCATGCTGCTCCCTTAGAGGTAGTCCTTAATTTACAAACACAACTGGGGACCAGAATTTCTATTGCTAAGCAAGGCGGTTGTTAAATGAGTCGCATCTGGTTTTACAGACTTTTTTTTTGGTTAGGGTTGTTAAGCAAATCACTGCAGTTGTTAAATGAAACATGTGGTTGTCAGAAGCCAGCTGGGAAGGTCGGAGGCAGCGATCACAGGACCCCCAGGATGCTGCAACCATCCATAAATACGTGCCAGTTGCAAAGCGCCCAGGTTTTGAACACATGATCGTGGAGATGCTCGGACGGTCGTAAGCGTGAGGACTGGTTGGAAATCCCTTTTTTTTCAGTGCTGTCGTAACTGTGAATGGTTGTGAGTCAAGGACTACCTGTGGTGGCCAATGTATCTCACACCTGATTTATTAAAAACCCTGCTTGGTCCTCAACTTTGCTCAGGAGGTTTTCTCGGCTCGATCCCAGCCTCGCCTTTGTGCAGAATAAGTAGCGCAACTTCTGAGATGGATTAGAACTCGTGATTCAGATGAATCCTTTGCGGCGAATGGCTGGACAGCCACCAGAGCTGATTCTCCTCTCCTTTGACAGCTTGATCCCAAAAACACCGGTTTCGTCGGGGTGGAGACCTTCTCCAGCCTGGTACACAGCCATGAGCTGCCTCTGGATCCTGCCAAACTGGAGATGCTGGTGGCCTTGGCACAGAGCAACGATGAGGGTCAGATCTGTTACCAGGAGCTGGTAGATCTGGTCAGTGGCGTGAGTACCGGCAGCTGTAGGGGGGCTGGATCAGTCTCTGAACAATGGAGGGGCTACATTTTCCATTTCTGCGCACTTCAGAGCATCCTTTCTCAACTTCAGCATCTTTAAGACTTCCAATTCTCAGCATTCTCCACATCTCTTAAAGCTGCTGAGGTTGAAAAACGCTGCTTTAGGCTGTTTGTTTTCTGGCAGACATTTCATTGCCTAACTAGGGATCATCGGGGCTAGAAGACGGCTAAACCCCTTTCTAGCACCGATGATGTTGCCTAGTTGGGTGATGAAATGTCTGCAAGATCAGTCAAAGTCGGCTAGGAGCTGCTACTGTCCTTATGGTGACCATTCTGGAGACGTAGTGTCCACTTTTCTACACTTGGTCAAGAACGGGTAGTTCAGGACCTGGGAGAGCTCCCACAGCCTATGAGCCCCCCTCCTATGCAGCCAACACGCCACAACCAATTCACCGCAAGACAAGAGTTACACTAATATCAAAGAAATAGTGGAATAGAATCATTGAAGAAAGGATGCAAAAAGAGGGACAGAACGAAATGCGAATGGCAAAAATTAAAATATTTTTTAATTTATTTTAAGCAATTAAATAGAATTGTTGAATTGTTCCGCAGCGAATTGTCCCATGATGAGTTGGCTGTGGCATATTGGCCATGAAGAGCTGGCCGCAGTGAGTTGGCTGTGTCCAGGTGTCCCATTCCATCCAGAAAACAACTCACCTGAAAGAAAACCGGGACAGGTTGAAATATGAAGAAGCAGAGTTTTCCTTTAGTCTCTTCCTGACCATTTAAGCAAAGATGGACCCTATTTACAGACAGTTGTAAAGACAGATGTGTAGTGGTTAAGGTATTCATTTAAACTATGGATATCCAGGTTTAGGTCGCCCCTCAACTATAGAAATTCACAAAGCTTGACCCCTGGCTCTGTCAACCCCATCCACATCACATGGGGGGTGGTTGTCAAAGAGACCCCCTCTGAAAGGAACACAAGTGAGAAAACGTGGGATATAAATCTTAACAAATAAGTTGAACGTTCTTTTGCCGTCGCCCGTTTGGCTAGAGAAACAGTGGTCCAAATTTCAGAGTGTAATTTCGTCCTTCACCGATATCTCTGACGTCCATCTGAGTTCCTTTCAGATGTCATTGGACTTCATTCCTTTCACGTCCAACCGGCTCCACAAATTGCTGATGGGACCTCACAAAGGTTGGGGTAGGGGTGGGTCCCCCCCTCACCCTCTTTTTATAGCACTTATGAGGGAGTTGTGAGGATGGATGATCATTTCAATGGACCTAAGAGGAAGCTCAATGTGTTTTTTCCCCCATCCATTTAAAAATTCTTATTGAGGGAGGGGCCTAGGCCCTCTATGAAGCCTACTAACCCCGACTTAGGCAAGCCCTGAGAGTGGCTGGTCAGTTGCCTTAGCTGGTCCTCTTCTCCAGATTTGTGGAATTAGGGATATCAGTCGAGGAGATATTGTCAGGCAAATGTCTATGGAGATTCTCAATCATACAAATCATGGTTGTCCCAAAGGTGCTTTTTCCAAAAAACAACTGGACTTTCTTAGTTTTTTCCATGAAAACATTTCGCTTCCCATCCAAAGAAGCCTCTTCTGAAGAATGAAGAGGTTCCTTGGACGAGAACTGAAACATTTTCAAGAAAAACAACAAGAAAATCCAGGTGCCTTTTGGAAAAAGCACCTTTGGGATATTGTCAGGCGCAAAGAACTAGGAGCATTTATTGAGTTCCAAACACAGAAGAATTTATTATTGCTACCTGTAATATAAGAATCTGGTCAACTAACAGTCAAAGCTAAATTGGTGTTAGATAACAATGGAATTCACAGGAGGCAGAGCTTGGAGAGTTTTTTTTTGTGGCAATGCAATGAGTCCAAACTGATGACACGTTTAACCCCACCTTCCAGCTCAGCCTGCTGTTCTCCTCTACATATCCTGCCAGGAAGATGTTCTTGGCTCAAAGGCAGGGTTGGGAATGGGGGGGGGATCTCGGGGTCTCTAGGAGGCAGTTCCTGATGAAAGATACAGTGGTGATTTTCCTGCTGTTGGGGGTCACTCTTTCTCCTTGCAGATCAGCAGCAAACGCTCCAGCAGTTTCAAGCGGGCCATCGCCAACGGACAGAGAGCTCTTCCTCAGGATGGTCTCCTGGACGAGACCGGCCTGGGCTTCTACAAACGCTTTGTGCGCTACGTGGCCTATGAGATCCTCCCGTGTGAGATGCACCGACGGTGGTACTTCTACCAGCACCGTGCCTGTCCTCCGCCAGTCTTCATGGCTGTGGTCACACTCACCCAGGTGTGCAGAGGGGCTGCTTGCCAAGGGTTGTTGGAGTGCACAACAGCACACTCGGGTGGGGGGGAAGGAGTGCCTTAAAAGCAGACGTGTCAGCTCTCCAATTCTTTGACTTGTACACCCTGATTTCTAGGTCAGAAGCATCTGCACCATCTGACACTTTGGTCAAGGTGATGAAAGCATCTCTGTGTCTATGTGTGTTGGAATTTTTAAATACAGATAGTCCTCAACTTACGATAGCAACTGGGAGCAGAATTTGCATTGCTAAGCAAAGCAGGAGAGGGGCACGAGGGTTCAGCTCTGAAGACCCTGAGCTTGTCAGCTGGAATGCTGGCAGCCTAGGTTTAAGACCAGAACACCATGCGGCAGGGTGAGCTCCCGTCCCTTGCTCCAGCTCCTGTCCACCTAGCCCAGTGATGGCAAACCTTTTAGAGACTGAGTGCCCAAACTGCAACCCAAAACCCACTTATGCATCGTCGAGTGCCAGGTGGGTGTGGCCCATTGGCTGGGTGTGGCCAATTGGGTGGGCATGGTTGCAGTGGTAACAGCAGACTGGGTGGGACTAAAAAGTTCAATCAATCAATTCCAACTTTGCAAGATCTTTTTTTTTCCCCCAAGAAGTTGAAATTGATTGATTGATTGAACTTTTTTTTTTGTACACGGCGGTGGAGGCCTAAAGCGAAAAGGTTTTATAAAACCCAGCTGAAGGCCTAGGACTGGGACGACAGCGCGCGTGCCCACAGAGAGGGCTCTGAGTGCCGCCTCTGGCACCCGTGCCATAGGTTCACCACCACTGACCTAGCAGTTTGAAAGCATGCACACGCGAGTAGATAAATAGGTACCACTTTGCTCAGAATATAACAGCATTCCGTGCACCTCAATGTATAGGCATGCCAACCACATAACCACCGAAGCGTCTTCGGACAACCGTGGCTCCCTTAGCTAAGAAACAGAGACGAACATCACTCTCTAGAGCCGGATACCACTGGACAGGGGAAACAGGGCAAGGCAGTTGTTAAATGAGTCCCACCCAATTCTACAATCCTTTTGCCATAGTTGTTAAGCAAACCACTGCAATTGTTAAGTGAATCACAGGGTTATTAAATGAATCTGGCTTCCCCCGCTGATCTTTGCTGGCTGGCCTCCTGTAGAACTTCAACTTGGCCAGAACCCAGAGATTCTGCAGATCCTCGACTTCAGCACTGCTAGCGGGGCCTTTGGTCCAATAGGCTTGAAGGACATCAACTTACAGAAGATCATCACAGTACCTTTTTCTCCTTTCTACCAGATCATAGTTTTCCTTTGCTACGGAGCACGGCTGAACAAATGGGTGTTACAAACCTATCATCCAGAGTACATGAAAAGCCCTTTGGTCTACCATCCTGGACATCGCGCCCGAGCCTGGAGGTTTCTCACATACATGTTCATGCATGTAGGGTAAGTGTCTACAGTATCTTCTCCTACTCCTTCCCTGTGTGTAGTACAGCAGGAATGGAGGGAGCTGGTTTGCTGGCCACACCTGGTCCAACGTGCTGGTCTGCTAGGGCCTCGAGAAACATCAACCTTGTATTACACCAGGGGTCTTCAAACGTGGCCCTTTTATGGCTTGTGGACTTCAGCTCAAAGCTGGTTGAGGAATTCTGGGAGTTGAAGTCCACAAGTCATAAAAGGGCCAAGTTTGAAGACCCCTGTGTTACACTTTGTGTACTTTTATCCAGCTTCGGGGTGGAATCGCGTTAAAGCATCTGCAAGCTAAATGGTGACCTGCTTTACTTTTGAAGCTCCAAATGTCTGCAAACCGGGGTCACTGATGATGTTATGTTTGGGCAATGAAACATCTGCAAGAAAACAACCAAGCTCAGAGAGCACCAAGGACCCCACAGCCCCAGTCCCCTCCCCACCCACCCACCCCTTTTAGCACTGATGTTGTTTCCTGGTTTGGGTAATGAAATGTCTGCAAGAAAATGAGCAAGCTCAGAGAGAACCAAGGACCCCACAGTCGTCGTTGTCGTTGTCCTCCTCCTCCTCCTCCTCCTCCTCCTCCTCCTCTCCACAATCTCTACTCCCTTCTAGCACTGATGATGTTACCTAGCTTGGTAATGAAACATCTGCAAGAAAACAATTAAACAATCAAGTTCAGAGTTTTCATCCTCCTCCTCTTCCTCCTCCTCTTCCTCCTCCTCCTCCTCCTCCTCCCTTCTCTTTCACTCCTTCTAGCACTGATGATGTTACCTAGTTTGGTAATGAAACGTCTGCACGAAAGCAATCAAGCTCAGAGAGCACTAAGGATCCCACAGTCCTCTTTCCTTCCTTCCTTCCTTCCTTCCTTCCTTCCTTCCTTCCTTCCTTCCTTCCTTCCTTCCTTCCTTCTCTTCCACATCACAAATCCATTCCTTTCTAGCATTGATGATGTTACCTAGTTTGGTAATGAAACATCTGCAAGAAAACCACCAAGCTCAGAGAACACCAAGGACCCCTCATTTCAACCCTGAGCTACAAATCGCCTCCTTTATTAGTCTGGATCTTGCCATCTTGCCACTCCTCATCCAAGTGCAAAGCAAGTGTGTTTGGACGGATGTGTACAAGCACTCGGATTACTTGCCCACCACCTGAGGTGGCTCCGTGTCCTGGACACTCAGCTTTTGCTAGTGGTTGTACAGTAACAGAAGGACATGAATCTCCTCCAAGACTCGGTGGGCCAAATCCAGCCCGACGGCGAAGCTTTTAGCTGTCAGTTAGGATGGGACTGGATTGGCAGGGCGAACTTTTTCTGTTATCTTTCACCTCTCCCTTTTCTCTCGCCTCCAGTAGGGAATTAGATGCAATCTTTTTTTATATATGTCAGAATGTTGGAGAAGCGGATGTAGATTTTTAGGACTTGCTGACGAGCGACATCTGGCCACGTTGCCACCAGCTGTTCAGTATGTTTCTTTTCTATCTGCTCCGCTGTGCGATGTTTGTTTCTTTCTCTCTTCTCTCTCCACTGTACAAAGCTCTTTCTGTTCATTTCTTCCCCCCAAAAAACAATAAAACAGATCTGTTGCTGGAGCTGCTAAAAGCAGCTCACTGGAACAGAATTGAATCCCCGGGTTTTATTGCATTTCCGTGGGGAAAAAAAAACGAAACGGGAAAAAATTTCTGAGCACGCTCGGCAGAAAGCCAAAGCCGTGGGAAAGCTGGAAAGCAAATATTGGGTATTTAGTAAGCAAGCGGTGGAGGAAATTCTATTTAGAATACAGGTGGCCCTCGACTTACGACGCCCGTTTCTGTCGCTAAGCGAAACATTTGCGAAGTGAGCTTGCCCCACTTCACGACATTTCTTGCCACAGTTGTTCAAGGGAAGCTCTGCAGTTAAGTTTTTTTTTAAAAAAAATAAAATTTTATTAGATTATAGAGTAAAACGCAGAGTACAAAGCAAATAGTAGGACACAGTGGAGAGGGAAAAGGGGCAGGAAGGCGAGGGGGAGAAGGGGAAAAGAAAAAAATCCCAGATATTTGGAAATTCATAGAAAATAAGAATGTTAGACTGTATTACTAATTAGACGATGTAAGATGGTAAGATGTTTGAATCGATAAGGTGTGTATCCTGAATATTAGACTTTGTGATGAATTCAATAATGGGAATTTTGCTTACTCAAAATCTGGAAATTAAAACCAATAAAGGTTAAATTCAAATATTAACGGGAAATTTAATTGGGAAAACGAATTAGGACATTGATTGTCTACAAAGACTGGGTGTTAAAATAACTAGGATATGTATAAACTAAAAGTTATTGATAACTGTTAGCATGTTACTTTTATTCAATTGATATAATAAGAATTGTGTTAGTTTAAATATGAGACAGTAAATGCTAAGGGGAAAAGAGGAAATATTTAACGCGGTACTTTGAGATTTCTCTTAAAGATACCTTTTTTTTAAAAAAAGAAAAAACAAAGACATTGACTTCCGACTCCCTCTGTTGCAGTAAAATAAAGCATTAAATTGTTAATAACACGGTCATTAAATGAATCTAATTTCCCCATTGACTTTGCTCCCAAGAAGATTGCAAAAGGGGATCACGTGACCCCTGGGACCGTCATAAATAGGAGTCGGTTGCCAAGCGTCTGAACTTTGATCACGTGACCAGGGGGATGCTGCGACGGTCGTAAGGGTGAAAAACGGTTCTAAGTCGCTTTTTCCACCGCCGTCGTAAGTTTGAACGGTCACTAAGTGAACTGTTGTAAGTCACGGACCCCCTGTAGTTCTTTCCCTCTGAGGCAGAAGTACAGGTAATCCTCAACCTAAACACCATTCATTTAGCAACCATTTGGAATTACGACGGAGCGGGATAATGTGACTTACGACTAGTCCTCACACTTACGACCGTGGCAGCATCCCCATGGTGACGCAATTGTAATTGGGACACTTGACTACTGGCACGTAGTTATGACGGTGGCCGGTCAAGTAATCGCCATTTGCGACCACCTCAGAGGGCTTCTGACAAGCAAAGTTAATGGGGGAAGCCAGATTCGCTTAACGACCTCACGACTTAACAACTGCAGTGATTCACTTAGCAGCCGTGGTCGGAAAAAAGGTCATAAAATCGGGTGCAGAAATTCTCGTTCCCATTGAAGTCGTAAGTGGAGGACTGTACCACTTCTAGAGAAAAGCAGTTTTGCAATTCTGGAACAACTTTACTTATTAACTTTATTGGCTGCAAGTCGCACACTTCTGTCTTCTTTCTAATTAAAAATAAATAAATCCTGACCGGTTTTAAGCATCTTATTATTATTTTTTTCCCCTAAAGGCAGCTAGTCAGGGAATGTTGAAAAGAACAGATGTAAAGTTTACAAATTGGGTAGGTGGCAGACCAGAAATATCGTGGGAAGAGGAAGTTTGGCAGACAAAAAAAAAATCTAACTGCCAGGCAAATGGCCAAACTTGATTATTTCACATAATTAGGAGAAGAATTGTGCCTTTCAACCCCCTCTTTTTTTCTGTAACTATTTCCCCCCAATACGTGTGGTGCATGAATATGTGGGGAGCAGCAAGGATTTTCATCCGAAGGGACTGGTGGCAAAGGGATGCAATGGTGGATTTTGGCAGGTTCTTTGGCAGGGATGAGGACTAGGAACTTGGGTTTTTTTTTTTAAAAAAATGTTAAATGACTCTCAAGCTGGCCGATTTGGTATCTGCTTTTTATTTCTATGGAAGCAGGACTGGGGGGGCGAAGGTGGGGCGGTGGGGAGGCAAGGCACCAAACTGCAATTAAATAATTGCAAATGTGAGATTTCCTGAAAGCAGCAGACAGGTTAGACCTGGGGGCAATTATTTCATTGGGGGTGGGGGTGTTGGCATTTAAAGTAAAATTCGATATTTCAAGTGACCAGATGGAAGGCTTCCCAGCAGTCAAATCAGAAGGATAGGGTATGAATCCAAAGACAAAGATGTTAATTAATATTCTGAGTTTCGCCCTGGATTTAACGCCTCGTTGACTTTAGTATGTGGGGTACGATGGTTCAGCGGTTAAAGACCTTGAGCTTGTCAGCTGGAAAGCCGAGACCCCATGTGGGAGACCCAAGCGCCTTGCGACGGGGCGAGCGCCCGTTCTTTTCCCAGCTGCTGCCCATCTAAGCAGTCAGAAAGCATGCAAATGTGAGTAGGCCAATAGGTACCCCTTTAGGCAGCTGCACTGACAGGTTCAGAGTGTGTAGGAAAATCGAGGTGAAGTTGGTCGGCTTTGAGGATTTCAAGACACCTCTCAAGGTTCTAGTCCTCATGACGGGCAGCCTTTTCCTCTAAAGCAGCAGTTCTCAACCTATGGGTCGCGACCCCATTTGGGGTCGATCGACCATTTCACGGGGGTCGCCAAGCAAGGCTGTCCGCCATTTTTTTTTCCCCTTTTTCGGCGGGTGCCTTACCTCCCTTGAGCTGGGCCAGCTGGTGGTCGGCCTGCTCCGTCTCTGCCGCTTGCCAGCTACGCCTCGGCCGGCGCAGGGGGCGGAACCGCGCATGCGCGGTGCTCCCGGGCAGGGAAAGTCCTCGACTTACGACCGGTTGGGTAGTCCTCAACTTACGACCGGTTTAGTCCTCGACTCACGACCGGTTTAGTCCTCGACTTACGACCGGTTTAGTCCTCGACTTACGACCGGTTGGGGGTCGCGGCATTAAAAAGGTTGAGAACCACTGCTCTAAAGCACCGATGAAGCAGACCTGACGGAGGGGTTTCGCCTGTTGAGCCATTTTCCTCCCTCTCTCTCTTCTCCAGGTTAGAACAGCTGGGGTTCAACGCGCTCCTGCAGCTGATGATTGGGGTGCCCCTGGAGATGGTCCATGGCGTCCTTCGCATCAGCTTCCTCTACCTCGCAGGAGTCCTGGCAGGTGAGTCGAGGGCCCCAGGTGTTTTGGCAAGCACCCTTGCCTCGTCCTTTTCCAGCTCGGCTACCCAGCTGGATTTGTCTGGATTGATAAGAAGAGGTCCTCCATTTTCTCGCAGGTTCGCTGACCGTCTCCATCACCGACATGAGAGCGCCCCTGGTTGGGGGTTCGGGGGGCGTCTACGCCCTTTGCTCGGCTCACCTGGCCAACGTCGTCATGGTGAGAATGGGGGAAGCGGCAGCTGTTCTTTGGAAATGGATGGTTGCTGGATTTGCAGATCCGCGCCAACGTTTTGATGGCAAGTCAGAAGAGCGGAGATAAAAATATCCCAGATAGAAGCGCCGTCCCGCTGGGCCCTGGCCAAATCTAAAGCGGAGAATCTGAGGGGTCTTCGAAGCCAACTTGGTTATTTTGGCACCAGCATTCCAGGGCAGTAGCCAAGTTAAATCAGGAAAAGTATACGAAACTCCACAGCTGGGAGCGTGGCAGACCTATTTTCACAATTCATGGAGGCTGAGTTGGGGACATGGGTGTGAGGCCAGGTTGAAGGTGCAGAGGGGAGAGGGTGGAAAGGGGAAACTGAGTCATGGAGGCATCCTTTTTTTTTCTCTCTATCCTTCCACAGAATTGGGCTGGAATGCGTTGTCCGTATAAATTGCTCCGTATGGTGCTGGCCCTGGTTTGCAGTAAGTGTGTTCGTGCCTCGTTCATTTTTTTTTCCCTCTGACAGATTGACGAGTTTCACGGAGCATGGCAAACCATGGGTTAGCCATCGTTTATTAAAGAAGCTACAACTGGCCGGGTTTCTACAATCCCATATCCTAATTTTTGCAAACTGCAAGCATTCATTTGGAGACCGGGTGGTTCTCCAGATAAAGGCAGTCCTTGCTTAAAGACCAAAACCAAAGATACGACGGACAGCCCCTCCCCCACAAGTACTTATTACCTGATTTTGATGTTCCGACAGCTGCACACACACACACACACACACACACACACACCTGAGTGACTGCATTGGGGCATTTGACAACCAGCTCGTATTTATGGTGGTTTATATAGCATCCCGCAATCATGCGGTCACAATTTTTGATATTTATTGCCCGTTTCCGCATTTATTTCTGGTTTCTGGCAAAAAAATGGCATCGTGTTCCTTCCTTCCTTCCTTCCTTCCTTCCTTCCTTCCTTCCTTCCTTCCTTCCTTCATTCATTCATTCATTCATTCATTCATTCATTCAATTTATTTGCCACTCAATTTGCCAAGCGGCTTAACCACCATCACGTTTGCCTAATGACCAGCACAGAAAAGATTGTAAAATTAGCCATGGTCACCTGGTAACCTGCTTAACAACTGCAATGACTTACGACCGTAATTCCAGGCTTAATGACGGTCATAGGTCAAGGACTACCTGCCCTGTTAAATGGCCTCTCTTAGCATCAAGGCCATTTGCATAGTTTATACAGTTTAGCGCTGCCGAGGCGGCAGAGGTTTACCCGTCCTTGTGTAAATTCAACCACCACCACAACGATAGCAACGTGGTTTGGCAAGAAAGATAAGGGAACCAAATATACAGCTTTCCCTTTCCTTTGACATCGCTCCTCCTTTCGCTGCAAGCCCCGCCCTCTTTTTCCATCCATCGCATCCACCATCAGGACCGTTTTGACCACTCGCAGCCCCATGGATACTCCTGCCTCCCCTGGTTTCCTCTTCTTTATTCCTTTCTTTTTTTCCATTCCTTTTCTCCTTGGCTCACTAACATGAAAGGTAACCAAGGCAGAGGTTTTGTGGCTAGAGGTGCCCTGAGGACTAGAAACTTGACATTCAAGATATATTCTCTGTTTCTCTCTCTCTCGTTCGCTCTCTTTCTCTCTCTCTCTCTTTTTTCTCTCTCTTTCTTTCTCTCTCTTGCTCTTTTTGTTTCTCTCTCTTTCTCTCTCTTTTTCTCTCTTGCTCTTTCTGTTTCTCTCTCTGTTTCTCTCTCTCTGTTTCTCTTTCTTGCTTTCTCTTTTTCTCTTTCTCTCTTTCTCTTGCTCTCTCTTTCTCTTTCTCTTTCTCTTTCTGTTTCTCTCTATTTCTCTCTCTGTGTTTCTCTTTCTCTCTTTCTCTTTCTTTTTCTCTCTTGCTCTCTCTCTCTTGCTCTCTCCCTCTCTTGCTCTCTTTCTCTTTCTCTCTCTTTCTCTTTCTCTCTCTTTCTCTCTGTTTGTTTCTCTCTTTCCCTTTCTTTCTCTCTCTTTTTCTTTCTCTCTCTCTCTCTCTCTCTTTCTCTCTCTCTCTCTCTCTCTCTCTCTGTGTCTCTGTGTCTCTCTGTCTCTCTCTGCTTCTCCCCTCCACCTGCAGTGAGTTCCGAAGTGGGCCGTGCCGTCTGGCTGCGTTTCTCCCCGCCGTTGCCCTCCGCCGGCCCTCAGCCCAGCTTCATGGCCCACTTGGCCGGGGCCATTGTGGGTGTCAGCATGGGGCTGACCATCCTTCGCAGCTACGAGGAAAACCTGCAGGATCAGTGTGGCTGGTGGGTGATGCTGCTCTCCTACGCCACCTTCCTGGTTTTTGCCGTCTTCTGGAACATCTTCGCCTACGACCTTCTGGGCACGCAGATTCCGCTGCCCCCGTAGCCCTCGGCCCAGCCCTGGTTCTCTTGACATCTGCTAACCCTGGAAGTGCCCAAACTTGCAGGGCTCCAAAACCGGGTGGGGGAAAAGGGGCTGGGCTGATACCCTTAAGCGGGGCCATCCGGAGCGTCCGCCGCTCGCCTGGCACGGCAGAGCGCTGATCCCATCGGATGCTGAAGGGCAAAGCCAGGCTAGAGGCCTGCGGAGGCAGGATGGCTGGGAGGCATGGGTGGGGAGCGTGGGGGGGGGAGCCAGCTTGGCTTGGCGTCCTCCGTGCCCTTGACCAGGCTTGCAGAACGGGCGCTTGTCTCCCTGAAAAGAAACACAAATCCTTCGTGGTGTGCATTGGGTTACTCTTTTCGAGGCATGAGGATCTATAGGGTTTTGAGGGGGGGTGGGGAGGTTACTTGCCCCTTCATCCTGGCCATTCGAGGGAAGGAGACTTTCCCAGCCAAGCCCAGGCTGAGTCCAGCCTTGGTGACCCGCTTCTGTTGCGAGGCTGTAGGAGATACCCTCAGCCAATTCCCTGGGCTGTTATTGGGCTGAATTGTTTGCTTTGCCTTCTCCTCTCCTTCCCATTCTCCTTGTCTCTCCTCCTCCTCCTTCTTCTACTTCCCATTCTCCTTGTCTCTCCTCCTCCTCCTTCTTCTTCTTTTCCATTCTCCTTGTCTCTTCTCCTCCTTCTTCTACTTCTTTCCCATTCTCCTTGTCTCTTCTCCTCCTCCTTCTACTTCCCATTCTCCTTGTCTCTCCTCCTCCTACTACTTCCC